TAGTTTGTTTTCCAATAAGAGAAGACAAGTCGACAAGTCTACACTAGAAAGGGTTTTTATACTTGCGGACATTGCAAGGCATGCCGCTTCGTACCTTCACATACCCATTCTTTCTCTAGTACTACTACTGGGGAGATATTCAAAATTCAGGGAGGGAATACCTGCTCTTCCATACATGTTGTGTACCTCCACACATGTTGATGGTTTGCCCAATATGTGGGAAGGACGGGAAGAAAGGCCAAAACTTGCTTCCTTGAACATCTCAATAAAATTAAAAAGGGTATTCAGAATCATTCCATCCCTGTACATTGTAATGATTGTCTCAACTTTGAGGTGGAAATTTTTTCCTGGATAATTATCGAATGGGTTACTTTGGATGTGAGAGGTGGGAATATTATATTGAAACTAAGACAACGAGAGGGATTTTGGATACACGGGCTTTAAACACTTCAGCCATGTAGGCTTAATGTGGATTTTGATTTAGTTTGTATTTTAGATGTTTCTACAACAATGATATATTTTTCATTTTCTATTTTTATGTTTATATTTATTTTTATTTTCATCTTCATTTTCATTTTTATTTCTATTTTTATTTATTATTTTTATTTTCATTTTATTTTCATTTTATTTTCATCCTTATTTTCATTGTGATTCATATTTATATCATTTGGTAGTGTCTACAGACTCCCTCTCTAATGTCTGATACATTGTATGTGGGCCATGATCTCAATGGGTGAAATTATTTTATTAGACCCTTCACTATGTATTATATGCTATTAATTTGTGTTTACAGACTTTATTCTCTATGTCCGATCCACTTATAGTGGATTATCGATTGCTCTTGTTTCTAGAGAATATATTATGTACAAGATATTATACATTATAATGATATGTTTTTTCCGATTGATCGCTAATTATTATTTTGCCTTCTATGTGGTTATGTGTGGCTAAGGAGTCAGGAGGAGGCGCACCCATGTCATCAATTATGGCAGACCCACTATAACAACTTCCGGGTGTGTGGAATGCATTTGCGTTCCGGGGTAAACTACCGGTGTGGCGAAACCAACCTCGCCACTGGGCATTGGAGAAGCCTGTTTGCCCACCTCCTGCCTGCTGACTATGGCCCCTGGGAGATTTGGCCCTTTAAATACAATATTTGGGCATATTGTATTTTATTATGCTGCTGCTGGCCCTTTAAGAACCATCTGGGGACATACTGTGACTTTTGGGAACAATGCCCATTTAAGACTATGGCCCTTGGAAGATATTGCCTGTTAAAGACTATTTTAGCAGATTGGATTTTAAAAGACTTGCTGCCCCCATTAAATTGTATTGGAGCAGTTCTGCAGCTTTAAATTGGCACTTCGGATGCAGCCGAAGTGCCGAAGTAGTCGAAGTGGCCACCATTCGACAAACGAACACGTGGTGGCGGCCATCTTTGTTCATTCGAACGAATTCAGCGGTATGTGTAGCCAAATCCATGGAACTGAAATCAGCTACACATTTCAACGAACACTGCTGACCCTTACCTTCTCCTACACTCAGTTTTCAGCTGCAGAGACTAAGTCCTGTTCGGCAGTTTGAACTCACTGCTATACTAAGCTAAATGCACAAACGATCCCATTCGTGCATTCGAATGGGACTTAGTCATTTTTCTGTGTAAAATAGACCGACCGCACAGCCCAAATCTATGGAACTATTTTGGGCAGGAAAATGTGCTTGCGGTTGGTCATAAAGGACTCCCAGCTAACTGTTTATCTGCTGGATGGATTTGTCTGATTTATGAGAGTGTTTATGTTTAAAGTGTGCTGATTAATAATATGTAATTTTTATGAAGATTGGACGTATATTTTTAAAGTTATATCACATGTATAAAAACTGGTTTTTTTCCTGTTTGTGATAATTATGTTAACCCATTGTGTACCATAATTATATCACAGGCAGAGGGGAGGATTTTGTGTATAATTGCTGGGAGTGTTTTCTGTAATGTACGTGTGTTATTGGTTGTTCTGTAAAACCCTGTGGGCAGTACTAAGTTTGTGTATTGGGAATAAAAGAGGCTGTATGTGCCAGTACAGTTCAGTTCTGCTTGACCTCAAAACAAAGTGTCGTCTCGTTATTGGGGGAATTGTATTGTATGCTGATTGCCAGGAGTGTAAGCTGATTGTATGCTTTTCCTGTTCACCTGCTTACAGCATTCATATTCTTGAGAGCATTCGTATGCTTCTCCGGTTCGGTGGTTGTGGTGTCTGCTGCAGTGCATGGAGTCCTCAGGAAGCACTAGGAGCATCCTTCAATGGAGGTACCCAGTCGGGGTGCCAGGTGATCCGTTACAACCGGAATTCCATATATGGATTGTGGCCATCCAAGAAAGTTCCAACACGTGAAGAAAAGAAGGGATTGGCTGACAGCCGAAAGAGGGACACATTTCTACACATTACAGCATTTTACTCATGTACTAACCAGCACTTTTTAATACTCATGATGAAGTCTATATGTATTAGACGAAACGCATAGAGTGAGTTTTTATTTTATTTGTTTTATATGTTGCTGTCTTGTTTTGCCTACGGTACCTGTGAGGATTCCAGTTACCTATATCGTTGAGATCTGGACTGGGGACCATGGGATTATACAGATGGGCTTTTTATCTACTTTTACTTTGTAAGTGTGACCATTAAAGCATGTAATTTCTTTCCAAATGAGCCTTTGGATTTCTGAATGCTACTGAATCCGGTGGAATCTACATATTATTGATGAGCCCGAATTTTCTGCTACTCTTTGAGTGCAACCTTAAATTCTGGGGGTCTCTTGATTTTACGTTATTACCCTATGAGTTCTTTCTCCATTTTATGTTTTTAGGTATATTTTGCTTGTTATTTGTATATGAGGATTGAGAGGAATCCTTTTGTACCTGGGTGGTCTATATCCTTGTTTTGTTCCTACTTCTCCCTTTTTGCCCACTTTATTTACTTACCTACAGCATACGTCAGTTTCGGCACACCTCAACTGACTTTTTCCTATTACAGGTTATGCTATTACACAGTCTTGCATTAATCATATTGGATGTTGCCCCGAACAGAAATGTGAAGGCTTTGCCTGGAGTTGTTGCTTATGGACCTATATAAGGACTCCCCCCTTTCCTACAGTACTGTTATTGGTCTGGTGATCTGTATGCCACCCCCTCCCCCACCCACCTCCCCCCACTTCCTTTATTCATTACATTCTACTAGGGTAGGCCCACTTTATTTACTTGCCTACCGCATTACCATGGTGATGCGGCATATTTACAATTTCTATGGGAGCATATATACACTATCGTGAGTTCCTATTGTGCAGTGCAATCTGGTTATGGGTGCTCAAAACCCTATACAAGGGCTAAATAAGTTGGATCATAGACCTAAGGAAACACATTAGGATTAAATGCAAATCGGTCTTTTTATAATAAGACCATAAACAAGCAATAATGCCCGGAACCATATAGTGCTATAGATATAAAGTGCCATTAATATTAAAGTGCCATTGTATCAAAAGTGCATCAAGGTTAATAAAAGTGCTAGTGGGGTAATATATTGAAGAAACGTGACATAGTGCTAATAATATATTATTGTGATACGTGTGCAGTAACTGCTAGAAAAAATGACATTGATGCAATTTATAATTACAAAAGTAAGTAAACCATTTATGTACCTTTTTATTTCAAGGCATCAAACTTTATGTACCTTTTTTAATCCAAGGTATCAAATTTTAAGTATATTTAATAATATTTATGATATTCACTACTACTACTTCCAAATTGCCTACAAGATTATAGGTTCATTATGCTGCTATCTGCAAAGATATATCAAACAAATTAAATTAAATTAAAAACAATGCAAGCTTGTAATGAAAGGAGTTAATCTATAAGAATGAATGTAGTGATAGTCTCATTGAGTCCCCTCGGGATGCTGTGTTTAGTTCATGTATCCAATAGGCTTCCTTGTTAAGGAGCATCTTTCCACGATCACCACCTCTCTTGGGTACAGGTATGTGGTCTATCGCCAAGAATTTTAACGTGGTAAGAGGGAGCTTTTGTTCAAAGAATTGTTTTGCAACTGGTTTGTCTAATTGTCCATCCCTGTATGACAGTCTGATGCTGGATCTGTGGCCCCTAATACGTTCACAGATAGCTGTTTCTGTCTTCACCATATACTAGAAACTACATGGACAAGTAAATTTGTAGATTACATATGTGTTCTTGCAAGTGATGGTATATCTTATTTGGTAGATTTTATTGCTGTGGGGGTGACAGAATGTTTTTGCTGATGTCATGTGGCCACAGGTAACGCAACCCATGCATCTGACTGACCCCCTAACTTGTTCTTTTGTGGGTTGTGTGTAGCTTTGAATGGGGTCTGTATGGACCAATAGGTCTTTCAGATTCCTGTTTCTCTTGAAACATATTAAAGGTGGTTGTTTAAACACTTTTGGAGGCGTGTCATCGCTTGATAGTATCGTCCTATTATTCAGGACAGCTGATGCAACTTGTGGGTTGGACTGGTGGTATACCATGGGGAAGACCAGCTTTGAAGGGATATTTTTATCCTCGATTGCGTGTGCACCAGGGACGTATTAGCCGCGAGGCAAACAAGGCATTTGCCTTGGGCGGCATTTTCCAGGGGGCGGCAAAAAACGCCGCCCCCCAAATGCCCAAGGCGAATGCCTTGTTAGCCTTGCGGCTAACTGACATCCCGAGCGGCCGGGCGGGCGGCCGGCGAGGGAGCACTTCCCATGAGCTGTCTGCTCAGCTCCCTCATGCACCGCAAAGTGAGGCTGGGAGCCGGAAGATGACGTCATCTTCCGGTTCCCAGCCTCACTCTGCAGCCGACGCGCGAGGGAGCTGAGCAGTCAGCTCATGGGAAGTGCTCCCTCGCCGGCCGCCCGCCCGCCTGCCAGCGCCGCCCGCCCTGCAGCCACTGGACCACCAGGGAGAGAGAACCCCCCAGCACTCCCAAAGGTAAGGAGGTTGGGGGGGGATTTAAATTTAAAAAAAGTTAATGTGTGTGTGTGTTTGTGTCTGACTGTGTGTGTTTGTGAGTGTGTGTGTGTGTGTTTGTGTCTGTGTTTGTGTCTGTGTATGTGTTTGTGTCTGTGTGTGTGTCTGACTGTGTGTGTGTGTGTGTGTTTGTGTCTGACTGTGTTTGTGTCTGTGTATGTGTCTGACTGTGTGTGTGTGTGTGTTTGTGTCTGACCGTGTGTGTCTGACTGTGTGTGTGTGTTGTGTCTGACTGTGTATGTGTGTGTGTGTGTGTGTGTGTCTGACTGTGTGTGTGTGTTTGTGTCTGACTGTTTATGTCTGTGTATGTGTCTGACTGTGTGTGTGTGTGTTTGTATGTGTCTGACTGTGTGTGTGTGTGTGTGTGTTTGTGTATGTGTCTGACTGTGTGTGTGTGTATTTAGAAGGTGGGGCGGGGGGAAGGGTTGGGTGGGGGTGGCACGGGGGGAGGGGGGCGCCTGAGTTTTGTCCTGCCTAGGGCAGCACAAAACCAGGATACACCACTGGTGTGCACTCTGTGCTTCTTGTAACACATTGTTCAAAACTTGGCGATCATATCCTCTTTGTAATAATTTTTCTTTCATTTCAATTAACTGTACTTCCCTGGTATTTGCATCAGAGTTATAATAATTCTTAGAAATTGTGCTTTAGGAAGCAAGTTCTTTAGGGACCTAGGATGTGCACTCTGATAGTGAAGGAGTGTATTTCCGTCCGTAGGCTTGGTGTATTATGAGTAGTGAAGACTAGAAGACCCAAGTGTAATTTGTAGATCCAAATATTGCACTTTTTCCGTGCTGATATTAGCAGTAAATTTGATGTCTGGAGTTGGTTAAGGTCATCCAATTTACGTTTGTGCAAATTTGTGAGTATGTAAAAACGAATGCGGGCCGTCGCACAAACACGGCCCCTTTGCAGCATACATTCTACAAACTGTAAGTAGTGCAGTTATATGAACACCATGTATTTCGTACATTTTCGCATACAATTCATATGAATTTGTTTATATTCTTCATTTGTTTAACTGAATGCATGTTTTAAGCTGCTTCATTCGTCTATGTGTTCTACAGACACTTCATTCGTATGGGTGAAAGAATACGAACGCCATTCGTGTATTGAGTTTGTGCCGTTTATACCTGAGTTATTTTACATAATTGTCAGGTTTAATGTTGTTTGCGCCACTTTTTACAAACACCAATTCATTTGAAGGTTTCCTGTTCGTGTATTTTTCTTTCTCAGGAATTGAAATTTGTATGCTTTCTAACATTATAACAATTCACTAGATTTCATGCATTACTGTTCGACTATATATGTGAATTCTTATCTATATTCGAAATATGCTGTATGTCATCTGTTTCAGGAGAAGGTTTACTAAATAGTAAACAAATTTAACGGTTCAAAATTTCTCAGTGTTAAACTCGTTAATAATCGTTAATACCAGTTCAAATAGAGAATTAAAGGAATATCTCAAATAATAATGCATGTTTCATTAATTTTAAGTTATATTTTCTTTCTCTCTCTATTTTGCCCTCCCCTTGATTCCCCCCCTTTTTTCCCTTAGTTGAGTGGTCTTTTTATATATCCCTTGCAGTTATATAAACAGAATGTCAGACCTCTATCATGCAAGTCTGATCCATGCTTTCGATACATGCTTTAATCACATACGTGCTAAGAGACCACTAGATAATTTGATTTAGCAGCATAAGGATGATATTATGTTTCTTTTGATATTTTAACTATGTGTACTTGCTTGCCATCATTTGGAAACATATTGTATACATTTGTATTTCACCCACATGCATAAAGCTCACTTGGGAAAACAAACTTTTTTTCACTCGGCTTTGGGAAAATAGCAGTTATGGGGATTTTCGACCCGATATATTACACTTTTCATGATTTAAATATCACACAATAAAAATCACAGCACATTCAGCCGGTCTCATAGCACATTCAGCCGGTCTCATAGGAAAGCATTTACAATGCTTTCCTATGTACGCTTGCATCTTCTCACTGTGATTTTCACAGTGAGAATCACGCAAGCGCCCCTAGCGGCTGTCAATGAGATTTGGAGGCTTGATTAAACCTTAATATAAACATAGCAGTTTCTCTGAAACTGCTATGTTTATAAAAAAAAAGGGTTAATCCTAGAGGGACATTGCACCCAGACCACTTCATTAAGCTGACAGTAACACATACCGGAAAATAATGATAGATCTTAAAGCAAGATAAAGGTACATAATAACACACAGGCACAAATCACCCTGTCCATGTGGTCTAATATAGTGCTGCCAAAGGGCCATTAGGTCTAATAAACTCTTTATTATCTTACAAAGCACATTGATACAATATCAATGCAAATATTAATATCAAATATATACATATATATATTGTAATACCCATTTCTAAACTCTTACTTAACAATCACAGGTGTCCAGCGGTGATACACTACCTTGACGATTTCCTCTTAAATTGAACCTTGAATCTCACTACTTCACACCAACCAGTCTACTAGACACTCTTTTTCAAGGAATTAGGAAGTCCGGTAGCTGCAGACAAAACAAAGTCCGAATACGGAATAACATTCCTGGGTGTTACACTAAATTCTGAATCCATGCAAGCTTACCTGCCTCAGGGAAAATAGAACAGAATTTTGTTATGTTCTCTCAACTTTGGTTTTCCATCTGGACTTAGGCAGATACAGCCCATATTCTGTGCAGATATTTTGCTACACAATTAAGTTAATTCATTTATTTCTATATTATTTAAACATTAACTATGTAAAGCATTTAAAAATAGAGGGTTGTTTTATTTTATTATACATTTCCTTTACATGAATAAACTATAATGCATCATGTTTAATTGCATTTTGAGAACGTAAAGGTACACTACAGCGTTAGGAATACAAATATGTATTCCTAATGCTATAGAGCCCTTGTCACCTAAACCGTTCTGCTGCGAATAAATGGTTAATTAACCATTTATTTGCTTACCTTAATCCAGTGCCAGGCTCCCTCGACACTGGTGACCTCTCCTCCTCCATCAACATCAGCTCCCGAGTGGAGCTGAATGCGCATGTGCGGCCAGAGGCGCGCGCACATTCAAACCCGCCCATAGGAAAGCATTACTTAATGCTTTCCTATGGGGATAATTTTTGACGCTGGAGGTCTGTGAGGAGGTCCAGAGTCAAATAAGCGCCTCGGTTGGCTGTCAGGGAGTCAGCCACTAGATGCTGGATTAACCCTGCAGTGTAAACATAGCAGTTTTTCTGAAACTGCTATGTTTTCAGCTGCAGGGGTAAAACTAGGGGGCCCTGGCACCCAGACAACTTCATTGAGCTGAAGTGGTTTGGGTGCCTATGGTGGTCCTTTAAGCCCTCGTGTTGGGGGTTATTGGGGCATGTTTGAAGAATGACTGGTATGTGAGGCAGCATGGAGTTGCTGTAGATGGACATAGTAGAGTGATACAGCAATGAGGTGTCATTCAAAGATTCTTATCCAGGATCTGCATAATAGTAAATACCACCCTGTGCCAGAAGGTTATCCTAACCTATATTATAAAATATTAGGCAGTCATTGGTACCTTTCATAACTAGATAACGTAACTCAGACACAGTTACTTGCTTTAGTATAATCATTTTAGTATATGTACGTTTACAATATGAAATAACATTAAATGATCATTCTTACCAAACATTCATATTCTCAATGAAATAATCTTTCTCCTTGTTTTATCAGCATCTTTCTTTTTAACAGATGTAATTTCAGTGCTTTGATGCTATGCATTGTGCAAATGACAAGCATAAAACTACATTAATAAGAGCAAGTGGCCTAGTAATTAGTTTATTTAAATTATATAAATCAATCAAACATGACATCAAATCATAATAAGTAATTATTACGCCATTTGAATTTGGATGTTTTATAAAATCAACAAAGAAACTAATTGTATTTCGCTTTTATGGTTGAATCATAGTCTAACCCAATTATGTCATGTTAATTATACATGCAAAAATTAAATAACCATTCTGATGTGGAACACTCATTAAAACCTGACAATTAACTCTAAAAGTAGGAAAACTATAAGAATATTTTTTAATTATATTCAAAATACTATTTTTTTATTTTAAATGACCATACATTTCTAAAACATAAATGTTAAAGGATCACTCCCACCCCATAACAACTTAAACTTATCTAAGTCATTTAGGGCATAAATATCTTTGGCAACAGTGTAACCCCAAATTAAGGACTCCAGAGCCTGACACTTCTGCAATATGATAAATTATTATCTGGGTGACCGCTGACAGGCTGCAAATGTCAGCTAAAGCTCTTAGTCTATCAATTTGTATGCATTGAGAGAACTAGTACATACTATTTGTAGAAGGTAAGATGGCATCTAGACACTCCTATCCCATAACAGGGATAATATTCAATAATTTATTTTGAACACCAATAACATTAGCAGAAAGACAGCACATAGTGCATGTTTACATTAAAAAGCCTGCAGGGACAGGCTTTAGACACCAGAACCACTTCATTAAGCTGCAGTAGTTCTGGGGACTATAGTGTCCCAAATAATGTGAGGTAAATTATAGATTAGTGTCACTAATAATATACTAGATTGCCTTCTTACAACCAGATGAGGATGATGGGCTACAGTTTGGCTCCACTAGTCTGGTGTAGAACAGGATCTCTGGAGGCTGTTTGTAACTGTGCTCACAAAATTCAATGTTCTGGGAGAACAGGAAACAACTCAATTTTTTGGGGCCCCTTACACAGCTCAAGGTCTGGGCCCCAGGGCCTGACGGTGAGTATGCCCATAAGGCCCACCCATAAGTCCACCTACATATTCCACCCATGGGTTTACTCACAGGGAGTGGAGTGTGTAGGGGATGTGTTATTGTAGAAGATCTAATATGTGTGCTTATGGAATGTAGTGTATATGGATACCAGTTTGTGAAGGTGATACAGTGTGTTTGTGTGTAGTGGAAGCAGTGTGTTTTTGTGTAAGGGATAGAAAGCAGTGTGTGTTTGTGTGTAAGGGATGTATTGTATGTTTCTGGTTGTGTGGAGGGGATGCATTGTGTGAATCTGTGTATGTAAGGGATGCAGTGTGTGTGTCTGTAAGGGGTGCATTGAGTGTGTGTAAGAGATGCATTGTGTTTCTGTGTGTATGCAAGAGAAGCAGTGT